GAGATGAGGTCTCGCCAAGTTGCCCAGGCAGATCTCGAACCCGTGGGCTCAGGCAATCCATTCACCTCGGCCTTCCAAAGTGCTGGGATTACAGGCTGAGCCACTGAACCCGGCCCAAAGCTGAGATTTTTTTTTTTTTTTTAATAATTAATCAGTATTTTTAAAGCTGAGATTTTAATTGTGCACCAGAAGATTTTTTTCTACTTAGGAATGTAGTTTCCAGAGGAGCTCTGGAAGAACTGTAAAGCAGCTAAAATGTATGCTTTTCCCCATACTATTCCTAACAGATCCTTACACGTTGTTAACAGTAGAGTAGGCCAGGCATGGTAGCTCACAGCTGTAATCCTAGCACTTTGGGAGACAGAGGCAAGAGGACTGCCTGAACCCACGGCAAAAAATTAGCTGGGCATGGCGTCACGCACCTGTGGTTTCAGCTACTTGGAAGGCTTGGGTGGAAGGATTGCCTGAGCCCAGCAAGTCAAGGCTGCGGTGGCCATGAGTGTGTCTCTGCACTCCAGCCTGAGTGACAGAGTAAGACTCTGACTCAAAAACAAAATAAAACAACAAACAAACAAAAAATAATAAAGTAGAAAATAAAAATGAAGGTACCTAAGGTGCTATGTTCAAAAGTGTGTAAAACATTTTTAGTTCTATTCTTTTCTTTTCTTTTTTTTTTTTGGAGTCAGAGTCTCACTCTGTCTCCCAGGCTGGAGTGCAGTGGTACACTCACAGCCACCACAGCCTCAACCTGCTGGGTTCAGGTGATCCCTCTGCATCAGCCTTTCAAGTAGCTGGAACTACAGGCACGCACTACCACGCCCGGCTAATTTTTTTGATTTATTGTAGAAATGAGGTTTCGCCAAGTTGCCCAGGCGGGTCTCGAACCAGCGGGCTCAGGCAGTCCACTCACCTCAGCCTCCCAAAGTGCTGGAATATAGGCATGAGCCACCACACCTGGCCCTTTTTTAGTTCTTAAGATCTCAACCTTGTCCTGGGGATGTTTTACATCTTAGTAAAGAGATCTTGGAATAAAGGCAACAAAATCCAAAGGCACAAAGCAGTAACATTTACTTTTGGTTAAGAGCATAGGTCAGTGGTGAAATGATTCCTATTCAGTTCTTAGCTCAGGTAAGTCTCAAAGACTAGTTCTTTAGACTATAAAAAGGGGGATAATAATAGTTCTTATCTTACAAGTTTGTTGAAAGATTAAATGTACTTGGAAAGCTGAGGTGGAAGGATCACCCAAGCCCAGTAGGTAGAGGCTACAGTGGCCATGAGCATGCCACTGCACTCCAGCCTGGATGACAGAGTTAGACTCTGACTCAAAAAAAAAAGAAAAATGAAATGAACTAATACAAATAAGGAACTTAAATGCAATGCATTATAAATGTGATCAAATTTTGCTTTTTATTATTGTCATCATTATCATGGAAGGTGGATTACGCCTGCAAAAGGTGGTCATGGACTGTCTTAGGGCAGGAGGGATATTCCCCTAATGCCTCTCAAATTATTTCCTATGGGGAGCTACTTGTTTTAGTGATTGGTTAAGCCAGCTCTGGTGACTTCTTTATAAAGTATGGCCTAATACTCAGGTACCAAACTTCTGCTTAGTTCAGGCATGAATCAACAGGGGAAGTCTTTTCCATCCTCTGTGCTCCCTCATCAAACTGCAGGGACAGAAAGTACCATGTCAAATTGTGGTTACAGGGCACGTTTATCTTTACTGATGCTTTGTTCCTGATGGTTTCCTGAAAGGGACTCTCTTTTTTTTTTTTTTTTTTTTTTTTTTGAGTTGTTGTCTCATTCTGTCACCCAGGCTGGGGTGAGTGGCACACTCATTGCCACCGAGGCCTTGACCTGCTGGGCTCAGGTGATCCTTCTGCTTCAGCCTTCCAAGTAGCTGGAAATACAGACGTGCACCACTACACCCAGCTGATTTTTTTTATTTATTGTAGATTACAGACATGAGCCACCATGACTGGTGGGACTCTCTTATTCTTTTTCTCCTATTCCACATAATTATATAGCTTATTGAACAATGCTGCACTGTACATTATTTTTATTTTTATTTATTTTTAATTTTTTTTTGAGTTGGAGTCTCACTCTGTCGCCCAGACTGGAGTGCAGTGGCCGCTCCCAGCCACCGCAGCCTCGGCCTGCTGGGCTCTGGCGATCCTTCTGCCTCAGCCTTCCAAGTAGCCAGAATTACAGGCGCGTGCTACCACGCCCGGCTAATTTTTTATTTTTTTTTATTATAGAGATGAGGTCTCGTCAAGTTGCCCAGGCGGGTCTCGAACCCACGGGCTCAGGCAATCCACTCACCTTGGCCTCCCAAAGCGCTGGGACTACAGGCTGAGCCACTGAGCCTGGCCATTATTTTTAATTTTTCTTATTTTTTGAGTTGGAGTCTCACTCCGTCGCCCAGACTGGAGTGCAGTGGCATGCTCACAGCCATTCCAGTGTCGACCTGCTGGGCTCAGGCAAACCTTCTGCCTCAGCCTTCCAAGTAGCTGGAACTATAGGTGTGTGCTACCATGCCCAGCTATTTTCTTTCTTTCTTTTATTTTATTGTTATTATTTTTTGAGTTGGAGTCTCACTCTTTCACCCCTGAGCTCAGGCAATCCTCTCACCTCTGCCTCCCAAAGTACTGGGATTACAGGATTGAGCCACTACACCCAGCCTCAAATAATTATTTTCATTGTAACGAACATAATAGTATTATTATATATTATAAAAACAGGCCGGGCACAGTGGTTCATGCCTATCATCCCAGCACTTAGGGAGGCCGAGGTGAGAGGATTGCCAAAGCCCACAAGTTCAAGACCAGCCTGGGCAACTTGATGAGACCACATCTCTACAATAAATTAAAAAATTAGCCAGGCATGGTGGCATGCGCCTATAAGTTCTAGCTACTTGGAAGACTGAGGTGGAAGGATCACTGGAGCCCAGCAGGTCGAGGTTGCAGTGACTGTCAGCATGCCACTGTACTCCAGTCTGGGTGACAGAGTGAGACTCCAACTCCAAAAATAGAAAAAAAAAAAGGATATGTGTTAGAGATATATAATGAAGTATTTGCATTTTAAATTATATAACTTCTGGTCGGGCTCGGTGACTCAGCCTGTAATCCCAGCACTTTGGGAGGCCAAGGTGAGTGGATTGCCTGAGCCCGCGGGTTCGAGACCCGCCTGGGCAACTTGGCAAGACCTCATCTCTACAATAAATCAAAAATTAGCCGGGCATGGTAGCACATGCCTGTAGTTCCAGCTACTTGGAAGGCTGAGGCGGAAGGATCGCCAGAGCCCAGCAGGTCGAGGCTGCAGTGACTGGGAGCGGCCACTGCACTCCAGTCTGGACGACAGAGTGAGACTCCAACTCAAAAAAAAAAAAAATTCACCCAAGCAAAAAGGAAGATTGCATGTAATGAAGGTTAACTAATTTTCAGTTCATTTAAACCGACCTTAAACTAATCACTTTTTATTGATCGTTTTTCTTTCAGAATGATGACTACAAGAAGAATGCTTTGCTTCTTTCACTGGTTCCTAGTAAGTATAGAGAATGCTGGAAGAAGTTGGAGTTGCTTAGCGTTCATTGAAGATATATGAGTTTTTTTGTTTTTGTTTTTTGAGTTGGAGTCTCACTCTATCGCTCAGGCTGGAGTGCCATGGCACACTCCCGGCCACCGCAACCTTGACCTGCTGGGTTCCGGTGATCCTTCTGCCTCATCCTTCCAAGTAGCTGGAACTACAGGCGTGCACTACCCTGCCTAGCTGATTTTTAAAAATTTATTGTAGAGATGAGGTCTTGTCAAGTTGCCCAGGTGGGTCTCGAACCCGTGGACTCAGGCAATTCACTCATCTCGGCCTCCCAAAGCGCTGGATTACAGGCT